TTTCCCAAACGGGTATATGCTAGGAAATCGCAGTTTGAAGTGTTTGAGGCAAGTGAAAAGCGATTTTCCTAACAAATTACTACGCTTCGATAATTATAGATCAAATTTGTTTGCCTTCATTATCTCGATGCAAAAATTGCATATATCATGGTGTATAAATTATAGATCCCTCATTATCTGACGGTATAAAAATTGCACATAGAATAGATTGAATAATAGATGTCATGCTTTGAAATGGAACGTTTTAAAGGCCGTGTTGATTTGTAAAGCATGTAGCCAAAGTTAAAGATTTTATTCAAAGACTTCATTACTTATAAAAATCAATTGGAAACTTGAGTGAAAATCAATAAGGTACAGTTTGGGGCCGGTATATCTCTCCCTTTAAAGGATTGAAGCTCTTGTTCTTATCATATTTTAAATTTTTTTTGAACTGCATGATCTCTATGTTAGTGCAGCTTAGGCAACAAATGAAATCTTTACATTTTGACTAACAATGTATCAAACTTTATTTAATAAAAAAAAGTAGTAATATAAGCTTTAATAAATTATAAACAATTTTTTCATAGATAGTAAATGTTATAAAATATTATAAAAAGCAGATTATTATATTTTGTACACCTAGTTGAAGCTTTTACCCTATCATAATAATAATTTCAGTAAATATTTCGATAAATATTTCGCGTACCAGACACCATGTTCTTCACTACATTCTGACCAAAAATATAATTTTACATTATTTTTTATTTCTTATATATTTGTATTTTTTAGCTTTAATAGATTAAATAGAAAGTTCCAGATTGTTTTTTGAATAATGTAAGAATTTTAAAAATTCTACTTGACTCAACACTAAAACTGTGTCTTGTTTTGTGTATGTAAGCACATGCTAACTCACTATTATTATCTCAATTGTAGAGATTTGTATGATTTACAGAGAAATAATTGGGTATATCTTTTTTAGAAAAAAAGAAATACACAAGGGCATGCACTTAGAGTATCTATATATTGTTGAACATAAATGCACTACAATTTCTGAATTCTCTTGGATTTATTAATAATCTTAACGCTGCCACTAAAATATACAAAAATCAAATCTTTCATATATGGATAAAATAATGCATTTTTTTACTCTTTTTTCAAACATTGTTTGTATAATCAAATTTATTTTATGACAGTCTTGCATTCATCTATCCATTCCAAAACATTCTTAATAGTGTCGTTCGTTTTTTGTAATTCATTTTCAAGCCATTCAACGTTTGCCTTTTCATGTTGTACTGCATTTTCAGTCGTTGATAACGATTTCAGGGCAAACTTAACATTATCATAATATTTAAACCTAAAATAAAATAAATAATCAAAATTTTGAAGATAAAGAGAACGCATTGTTATGATAAACTGGTACTAACAGACCTTAAATCGTCCTCTAGGTTTATGCAAGAATATGTCGTTTCGTCATCGATAGTCTTACTCTGCATTATTTTTTTTAATTTATTTTGGATTGTATCCATTTCATTTTGCATTTTCTCAAGCTTCACGATTAAATCAACCGCATCACCTTTCAAGAGCATAATATACTTGCGCACCACCCTTTTTCCTTTTAGTCTCTTAGCAGCTTCCCAGTGCGATGCATCGTTGCAAAAATTAGATATATCATTATAAATCTTATCTAGAGTTGTATCTCGAACATACTTGCGGGACTTTTGCTTTCGTATGAGTACTGAGCGAAACCAATATTGTATCATTTTGGCATTTTTATCAGCATGAGGGGAATCGGTAATTTGTTGGAACCAAGCTTGAATTTCTTCAGCTGACTCCGGGTTATCTTCAGAGATTTCCTTTCTTTCGCTTTCAGAAATTTCCTTTCTTTCGCTAGCTACTGGAGATACGATTTTCCAAAGGGAAGACCTGAATTCTTCACTAGAATTATATTTGAGTATTTTAGCTCCATCATTTATTAGTTCAGCAAAATTAGATATGTCTTCTCTGCGGTAGTAGACTACGACTAAGGAATCGCAGCCTGTCTCCCTAAGATCGTTGATAAGAGTTTTTATAAGCAGTCCCATACTGCGTTCTTTCAGATATCTATTGATCTTCTCAGAATGGGAAAACTTCATACTCGAAAAAAGATTTATAACCTTTGATATGGAAGTGGATTCGCAAATGGATTCATTATATCCAATAAGGATTAGCAGTCGTAATAGCCGAAGGATAATCGGTGAATGATAATTTTTAGTGAAATCCAACTCGCAGAGAAGCTGATGAGATAAATCAAAAAAATCTCCAATTGCACTTTTATAGTCCTCTATGTTATATTCATTGTGGATATTGACGTTTGGAAGGAGTGGCTTTACATCAAATGCATAAAAATAATTGACCAAATAACTTTGAGGAAGACAAAAATCGCAAAGTCTAGGACTAGCCGCAAAAACTAGTGAAATCGTGAACTCAATAAGGGATGTAAGATCACCAAGTGATTCTGATGCGTCCATTTGGAAAACATCACGAATGTGTCCTATGGCATAGCGAATAAATACCGTCGCATGACTAATTGCATCTATCACCTTATTGAAATTAAGACAGTAGAAAAACGAATAAAGATGTTTTCCTACTGAAACATAGCAACGACGTTTTTGATCATATTCAAAGCCAATTAATGGGGTTTTTTTCACCTCAAAATAAGGTTTATTCACTACCCATCTGAATTTATTGTAACCCCATTTATGTCGTAACTGTTGTAATACGAACATGCATTTTAGCATGGCCCCAAAGTCCTTGCCACTGTTGAATCCATCTTTAAGCCATACTTTATCAGCTACATTAAATAAATCATTACGCATGTCGTTAAGATGATTGCGGATCACTATATAAGAGATCTCAGCACAACTTGTCTGTGGAGACTGATAACGGAAGAGATGGTCAACTAGTTTTTCAGCCCAATATCTCTGTCGACGAAGGACATTTTTACTTTGGTTATCTTTAAGTATACGACGATGATATAATACAAGCATCTTTCTCATTACGGTATATTGTCGACATAAAAGCAACAGATGATTGTACAAAATCGTTGGTGTTGGCTTTGTGTGCCAATCTTGACACTTGTTATACTTATACAAAGCTGCAAAGCAATTACCCGAGGATGCAAATTCATAACAAATTTTAGAATTTACGTCTGGAATCGCACGGCCAGTATGATCTGCGTTTTCAAGAAGCCCAAAAACATACGAGACAAGGAATTGAGAAATTGCTTGATGCACATCGTTCATGTCATATACATGCTGATCCTGATCGGTTATTGCTTCTGCTGTATTTCCTACGTTATTTTTTTGATGAGCTTCATTAATAAGATCAAGGAGGGGACTATCAGGT